AAGCCTCAGCTGAAAAATAAGGATAAAATAATACTGCCTCGAAGGGTTGTTTTCAGAATTCAGTGAGTCAATGCACATAAAGTGCTTAGCACAGCACCTCATGCACAGTAAATAATTTTAAAGCCAATGTTTGTGGAGCTCCTTCTCAAGAAATGTTATTTTTCATAATTATCTGGAAATGAAATGTCCCTTCTAATGAGACTAAGTTTGATCCAGTAGCGGCAGGGAGCTCTGGAAGAGTCTAAGCACGGGGCTGTGCGGATGATATCTGATAATTGGGAAATCACCCTGGGACGGTGGCAGGGCGGAGAGCGGATTATAAGGAAAGGGGCTACAGGTATGAAGGTTATTGAGGAGGCTACTAAGGCAGGAGACACTCAATGATTGGGTTTGGCAGCAGCAGAGGGAAGGAAAGAAAGGAGACCGACCCCAGAGGTACTTAGAACAACCAACAGGATGTGGGACATGGTGACCAATTATTGTGGGGTCGGGTAGGGCCGTGAAGGAGGATCAGGGGACAGTGTCCAGGTTTCTGACAAGTAAAAGACGCGGGTTTGGATGGCAAAATGACAAATGCGGCTTTCGTCACGTTTCCTTTGATGGGAGCGCTCTGCGAACAGGTCGATTGGCCTGTGGGTCTCGAGCTCAGCGGAAATGCTTAGAGAAGCCATGAAGACCAGGAGCTCCTATAGGGTGAAAATGTTGGAAATTATGAGTGAGTGTGTTACTGAGGGAATTGAACAAAGTGAGGTGAGGAGACCAGGATGGGTGAGGGAAAAGCTCCCGCAAAGAATACTGCAGTGAAGAGCGAAATGAAATAGCAGATGGAGGAGCAAGTACTGCTATGGAATCTTCAAGGAGGGAGTATAAGACACAGCAGATACATGGAGTAAGGTGACCACATTCAAGTGGTCAACGGCGTGACAATGCAGTGTTTAGTGGCAGTTTCAGAAACATGAAAATGAGATTTCTTTGGATTTGGGAGTAAACAAAGAGGTGGGGATAAATGTGTTTTAGTCCTTTGAGAAATGTGAGTTTGAAAAAATTTTCTCTTTAATGAAAGGGCAATAGTCCAAGGGGAATGTGGAGTCACAGAAGTGTCATTCTAGTTAACAATGGAAGACACAGGTATATTTATATACTGAGAAGATCAGCTGTTGGAGAAGGAGAAGTAGGATATGTTTATCTTTCATCTTCCCAGACCCCATCTCTTTTCATCTGTTCTGGGTCTCTTGTCCTCACTTCCATTTTCAGTGGCTTATCATCCCCTAACTCAGTCCTCACCTCAGATGCCCAGCTGTGCTACCCTCTGAGGCATGACCTCTCCCTTGACACAATCTTGGCTGTTTATCCCTAGCCCTGTAAACCACAATTTCAGCAAGAGATGCTGCTGATGTCACTTCATCCCAATCCCATCCCTTCATGTTCCTTAAGATTCCCAGGGTTAGCCAAGTTCTCTGGAGATCACTTGACCCCCGGCCTCCTTGACATTCATTTTCCCAGAAACCACCATGCGTCTGCGGTGGGGCAATGGCCCCGAGGGCACACACCCTGCACTGGCACCGCTGAGCATCATCTGTGGCCGATGAAAGTGAATCTGGAACCTCACATGCCTGCTAACTCACAACCACTCTGGCCTGATGCTCTTCTTGTACTCTTTTGCTGCACCCAACCAAATAAAGGCAGAGGTTCTTCCAGATTGCCTCATTCTTTGTTCTCGAAGGTCCACAGAGAAATCTTATGAGCCATCGGGATTCCTTTGCCAGCGCTGGAGAAGAGTAAGCCAGCCTGAGGAGGCAGACAATAGGTGGGGCACAGTACTCAAAGCAGCTCCTCTCTGAGAACACATCCCACCTAACACTCCATCCCTGAACCTCACCTTCAGGTCTCAGATCCCACTTGGGGCAGAGGCTCTGGAGGTGGACTAAGAAAGACCAATGTCAGGGGACAATTAAGGGCGTGAATAGGAGAGTTTCTGTTTCTAATTCCAGACAATGATCAACACAGTGTCATCTGACCCCAGCTCATCAGTCAAACTACCTGCCTCAGAGCTGTGCCTGAAGGAATGAGCACAGCAAATGCATTTGCGCTGATAGGGTGGTCTCATGGACTGGCCAAAGGGGAAGGTGCTGGGGGACAGGTGCTGTCTGCCTCCACTTGCTCACACCTCCCCTTGGGCACAGCCTCTCCTGCATGGAGACACACGGCCCTGCTCTCACCTGGAAGATCCACACCTGCAGATCTGCCTCATCTGCCCCTTCTCTCACCATCTCCAGGAACTAGGATGACTATCAAATTTGCCACAATGTGTTTTACTACAGAATGGCAGAGGAGCATCACCCTGCATCGTGGGTACCTAGTTCTGCTGTGTCCTACCACATCTCTGCTGAGCACAGGAATGTATAAACACACTTTAAAACATGTGTCTGGGCTGGAGGCAGTGGCTCACATCTGTAATCCCAGCACTTTGGGAGGCCAAGGCAGTAAGATTGCTTGAGGTCAGGAGTTCAAGACCAGCCTGGGCAACATGGAAAAACCCTGTTTCTACTAAAAATACAAAAAATCAGCCCACTGTGGTGGCACACGCCTATAGTCCCAGCTACTCAGTACTCAGGAGGCTGAGGTAGGAGAATTGCTTGAATCCGGGAGGCTGAGGTTGGAGTGAGCCAAGATCATGACACTGCACTACAGTGGGGGCAACAGAGTAAGAACCCATCTCAAAAAAAAAATGTGTATGATCCCCCCTATGATCTGCTTCCTATCCCAGTCCCAGTTGCCCAGATGAACTTTCCATGTCCTCTGCAAGCACCCACCAAACCAAGACATGCATACTGAGCTATCATCTTGCAATGAATTTTAATAGGTGCCCTAACTGCCTTTTGGGGCACTGCACTGCTACTTTCAATGAAAAAAAAAAAAAAAAAGCCAGAAGTTGTGCCCCTGCTGAGATTCCTGCAGCCTCCTTGCAGCTAAATTTTGCCTGACTGGGACTCATCTCTGATGTCAGGGCATCGTGCAGCCAAGCCTGCCGTGGCATGGACTTCCATGTTCAGGTCGGGATGGTGGATGGCTAATACAGGGCCTTCTAGAAGTATCCTGCCGGCCTTAGCACACTTCACAGCCTTGATCACATTCTACAGGATACCAAGGAAGTTTATGAGGAAGTGCTAGCAACATCACTAATCTAGGACTGACTCCCTATGAGAGCACTACCAGGAAAAGTAGTCAGGGAATACCACCTGAGGAGCATCCTAAATTAAAACATTTTATGACCTTGCCCATCTCAAGAAATGCAGGCCCAGCCTATACTCCATAAGGAAGGTGGCCTTGCTGAAGACATAGTGTTTATGCAATCTGTACTCCTGATCCTGTTTTCACTTTTCTTGGTTCTCTGACCCCTAGTTAGCAACCCACCTTGGTTTCCAGTGCTTGTCTCAACCTTCCATTTCCTTGACAACTTATTTTTAAACAAAATTTTCTGTCTCAAACTTGTACTTCTTCAAGACACAGCGATGGGCCGGAGTGGCAGCTCATGTCCATAGTCCCAGCACTTTGGGAGGCCAAGGAGGACAGATGCTTAAGCCCAGGAGCTCAATACCAACCTGGGCAACATAGAGAAACCCCATCTCTACAAAAAATATGATAATTCCAGGCACGTCGTGGTGCCCCTGTGGTCTCAGCTGCTTGTGAGGCTGAGGTGAGTGATGACTTGACCCTGGGCATTCAAAGCTGCGGTGAGCTGTGATGGCACAACTGCACTTCAGCCTGGGCAACAGAATGAGATCATGTCTAAAAGAAAAAAAAAAAAAAAAAGACACAGCTGTAGCATTTATGGTATCTGAACCCAAGAAAAGGACTGTAAGCAGTTGACAGTTGGCAACTGGAAGCCCATTCCTACTGTCTACTTTCCCAGACCCAGTTGACCAGACCCACTTTCTTTTTGCTTTCGTTTTTTTTCTCCAAGACAGAGTCTTGCTCTGTCACCCAGGCTAGAGTGCAGTGGCACAATCTTGGCTCACTGCAACCTCCGCCTCCTGGGTTCAAGCAATTCTCCTGCCTCCCAAGTAGCTGGGACCACAGGTATATGCCAACACGCTGAGCTAATTTTTGTATTTTTAGTAGAGACGGGTTTCACCATGTTGGTCAGGCTGGTCTCGAACGCCTGACCTAGTGATCCTCCCGCCTCAGCCTCCCAAAGTGCTGGGATTACAGGTGTGACCCACTGTACCCAGCTCAGACCCACTTTCCATGTCCTCCCAGGAAATAAGATAAGCCAACACTAGGACCTGCAGATCCTACTCAACTGAGAGCCAGGAGCACAGAGGCCATCTGTTTACAGTATTTAACTACCTTTACTACACCGCACCCCACTTTTACCTGCCCCTAGAAGGCTTCATGCTGCACCTTTAAACCTGTGCCCACCCTCTTAATAGTATAAGTCCCCATACATTTAAGTGGAAATTTCAAGCTCTGGACTAAAGTTCAGCAACAGAAATTTCCATTATGACGTTCTATATCTGTACATTGCAATATGTTAGCCACTAATCACATATGGGTACTGCGCATTTGATATGTGGCTGGCGCGACTGAGGAACTGAATGTTAACGTTATTTCATTTAAATTAAGTTGAAATAGCCATATATGGCTAGTGGCCAACACATTGGACAGTGAAAATCTAGACAATTCCCGTCAAGCAGCCCCTAGCAGCAGAGTAAAAAAGTTGTTTCAGAACAGTGGAAGCAGGCTCTCCAGGAGAAGACCAGGTACCTCGTTCCTAAGCATTGAACGGGTCCACGGCCCTCTCGAAAAGGAAGCAAGGCAGGATGGGCAGGGGCAGCTGAACATGAGCTTAAGGATGAGACAGGGTTAAGACAGAACGTAATGGGGTCATAATGGGGGATGATAGATGGAAACGAAGCAAAAGGAGGTGTAGAGTTGGAGGTGGAGGAGGGAAAGGAAGCAGGTCCCTCCCTGTTGACTCAGTACCAGCACCAATCCTGGCAAGTTCTAAAACCTTTATTGCATACACCCTTTCCCCCTTCCCCCATTACTGTCAATTCCAATGAAGGAATCATTACATATCTTCTAATGTAAACCCCTCATTCCGCAGATGAATAAAATGAGGCCCAGAGAGGTGACCGGCTTGTCCAGTCATATGTTGAATCTGTAGCAGGATCGAGACCAGCCTGTGTCCTCCTCTCTCAACCCCATGTGCCCTCTCCCACCCCGAACCAGCTCCACTAAAGGAAGGCAGAGCTGCGGAAGGAGAACTGCAGGTAGCCAAGGAGCAGGCAGAGAGAGGCCCAGAAGAGGCACCAGCGAAGAGACAAGAAGTTGTAGCCGGATCCCGCCTGGGCCCTCGGCCTGGAGGCTTCCGAGAAGGTGTCGGTGGTCGCCTCCTCCTCCGGCAGCTTCTCGCTGGGCTTCCAGTGCGCGATGCCCTCCTGGCAGGCCTCGCAGAACTCTGCACGATGCGGCCCGCTGTCCGGGCGGCTGGCCACGTGGATGCGGTACTGGCCGCCGTCCTCGCCGTAGCACTGCTCGCGCAGGCTAGTGATGAGGTTGTCCACCAGGCCCTCGATGTTCTCCTCCAGCATGCTGGACTCGTCCAGCCGCGCCGTGCCGCACTCATAGCACAGCTGCTTGAAGACGCGCATACGCACCGAGCCCATCCGCCGGGAGTGGTCCAGGTGCATATGGAAGAGGATGATCACCTGGGCAGACTGCCAGGTGTGCCAGCACCAGGAGCAGTGGAACCTGCCGGGAGGAGGAGGTGCAGAAGGTGGGCATCCCAGCCACAGCCTGCCCTGAGTAGCTCTGGGGGTGGGGCAGGGAAGGCCTGTGTGCCCTTGCTTAGAGATGGAGGCAGAGTGTTTACTGCCTTGTGGATTCATCAGCACTCCAAGCTCAGCCTGCTATTGCTTCCTCCTGCTGAGCACCCCTGGGACCCGAGTAGCATCCTCAGGAGCTAGTGCCGGAGCCATCTGGTACCCAGCAGTGCTCTAGAGCTTGCCTCCTGCAGTCTCAGCTGCCCTCAAGCCCAATGCACTCAGGGTTGGCACCTGGGCACTGTATAGGGTCATTCCCCTGTCTCAGCTTCATTGCTCATCTGTGAAATGCAGTGTGTTAGTGTCCAATAAGAGTCCTTCCTCTGCTGGGCACGGTGGCTCAGGCCGGTAATCCCAGCACTTTGGGAGGCCGAGGTGAGTGGATCACAAGGCCAGGAGTTCGAGACCAGCCTGGCCAACATAGTGAAACCCAGTTTCTTCTAAAAATACAAAAATTAGCCAGATGTGGTGGCACATGCCTGTGCTCCAAGCTACTCAGGATGCTGAGGCAGGAGAATCACTTGAACCTGGGAGGTGGAGGTTGTGGTGAGCCAAGATCATGCCACTGCCCTCCAGCCTGAGCAACAGAGTGAGACTCCACCTAAAAAAAAAAAAAAAAAAAAAAAAAAAAAAGAGTCCTTTCTCTGTGACCTCCTGTGATTCTGATAAGAAGGATGACCTGCACCATCTAACTTGTGCATCTTGCTTACTCTGGGGAGAAGAGATGCCTCTAGCAGTGCCAAGCACAGACTCTGGAACACTGTAGTTCCTCAGTAAACCACTGAGAATGCTGGGATGGACAGACCGGTAGATGGGAAGGATGAACTGGCTTTGGGAGGAACCATTGTTTAGTTGCCACATCTTCACAAAGAACACTCCCCAGACTCTTAACAAGTCATCTCTAGATTTCAATCTAGCCATGCAGTGGGGACTGGAAAATGGGTACTCATCCCCAATGCCACTCCTCACACACACACACACACACACACACACGCACACATACACATACTTTCTCTCTATCTCTCTCTCTTACATGTACACAAGCCACTTGGCCTAACCTGGGCTTTCTAGAGTCCCAGCCTCAGGAAGTGTGGAGGGTGGTAGCCTGGGGCTCATCTAGGCAAGCCCCACTCACTCCACCCCCAGCACTGCTTGCACACCTTCAGTGACACAGCACTCCTTACCTCCAGGGCAGTTCTTTCCATCACTGAGATGAGCCTCTTCCAGGCCTCTGTTACAGAGGCTTCAGAGGCAGTCAGGTGTCCACTGGGCTGACCCTGCCCTCATCCCTGGCCCTGTCTGGATCCATTGTTTGATGGCCTTGAAGGACTTCTGATGAGAAACTCAAGTCAATCCGACAGACACCACTCAACACCTACCATATGCTAAGCACCACTCAACCCAGGATGTGGGATAAAGATGAGGCCAAGACAGTCCCTGACCCCTGAGAGCCTGATCACACGAGGACAGAACAATACCCAGAATGGCCCAAGGTGGTAGGGTTGGCAGGCCAGAGGAACGTAATTGGTGCTGAGCCAGTAGAGGCTCCCCTGTCCCCAGTGCTGGGCGAGAGCTGCAGAGCATCTGCTGGTTTAGAGACAGAGTGGGCCCGTGCACAAATGAGCTCATGGGCAGCAGTTCTTTAGCCCTTTGTGAGGCTACCTGGGAGCCACAAGTCACCAGCCAGGAGTAAGAGAAGCTGACCCCAAGGCAAGAGGAGACATGAGCTTGTGGAGCTCAACCCCTAAACTCCAGATTCTGGGCACTCAGGTTTCCAGGCCTCTGCCCCCCTCCTGCCAGGTGGTTCAAATGCTTTGTTTTCAGTCTCCTTCTACACCTTTTTACATCGAGCCAACCCAGAGTTGCTTCCCCTCCATGAAGCCAGGCGTCACATCTTATGTTCTAAAAATATCAGATCTGAGGGCAGGAGAGCTTAAGAAGCATCTAGTCAGCCCGTTATTTCACTGAGAAGAGACTGAGGCACAGACAGTAAGAGAGGCATCCATGTACACACAGCTAGTCAGAGGCAGAGCCAGCGCCCAGGACATAACAGGTACCCAACAGATGCTTCTTTAGTTGATGGAATTGACCTGAATCAGCCAACCTCTGCCTTTCTGTCTTTTGTTCACAAGACAGGTTTACCCTAAGAATTGCAGGTCTTGGGGCAAGAGCACAAATGTAAGCTCCCTGCCCATATCTTGCCTCCTCTATTCCCACCTTCAGCATCATTCTGCACCATGAGAAGCTTCACACACATACACGTGTGAGCAACCCAGCCTTTGTGTCCATGTTCTGGCTATATCTCCAGAGGACAGCTGATATTGGCCTCTCTTGAATCCAAAGACATAGGGAAAAGGCCTGCACAGACCCTGCAGATGGACTTGAGGTAGTCTAGCCAGGGACTTCTGTAGTCCCCGTCCCAAATCATGATCTAAAAGGAGAAAAGGCATGTGGACTTTAGATGGCCTTTTCCCCTTTGCCTCAAGGACTCTTTGCACCATGTTAGATGTGCAATTCTTACAAAGAGTGGGACCTTGGGTTCTAAGTCACTAAACAAACTTTTGCTCAAAGTTAAATCTTTTTATCACAGGTACATAGATAATAGAGCTAGAATAGATTTGATCCATTATCTAAGACCAACCCCCACATTTTGTAAATATAAAAACTGAGAACCAGAAAGGGAAAGGGACTGGCCAAGTTTACAGGGCTAGTTAGCTACATAAAGCCAGTCTGTAGCACATAGCAGGGGGTCAATAAATGTTTCTGTATTCAGATCAAATTGGATTAATTCACTAAACAGATCTAGGACCAGAGCATAGCTGTACCCCCCCATACCCCCCCATTCCTAGAATAAGGCTTTCTCCAATGGACTTCATAGACTCCTTCCTTCAGTTCCAACTCATTCTTTAAATGTCAGAGATTGCAGGGACATAGGAGATACTACAGCTCTTCATTTAATGTGGACAACTAAGACCCAAAGATGGAACATAACTTGCTCAGAATCACCCAGGGAGTTGGTGGTATGGCTAGGATTAAAATCAAGATCTCTGTGACCCAGCCGGCTGTTTTTTGTCTGTTTCCTTATCTGAGCTGACACCAGAATGAGCCTGCCCCCAGGACTGGGCTCTGTCTCTCCTTGGAAAGTACCCCACAGTTGTGACCCAGGGGCTGCCTGCAAGGCCCCTCCCCACTGGGCATCTCACCTGCCTGAGGCGTGCTGCTCCAGGTACTGCTTCCAGCCAGGGGCCAGCTCATTGGGCTTGAGGTTGGGGTCGATGATGAGCTCCCAGCTGTCTGCTGGCTTTACCACCTCCATCTTCTCATAGAAGACTTTCTTCCACTCACAAGTGGTCAGACTGGTACACATGGTCCTGCTGGTAGAGGTGGCAGTTGGAGCTCAGCCTCAGTGAAAACACAGAAAGAGCACAGGAAGGTGCAGGACAATTCAGTCTCTATAGTCTGAGAATCCTCATCGGCAGGACTGGGAGGGAACAGGACCCAGCTCCCTCCTTTGTTACCCTGGACCCTGTTTCCATGGTAGCCAGGCAAGGTGCCAAGAGCAAGGGCTGGGGAGAAGGGAAGCCCCAAGGGGGAGTTTCAGGGCCCTCAGCTAGGCCTCAGAGGCAGCGCTGGGTAGGACTGAGTGGAGCAAGCAGGGTGGGAGACCCAACCCCAGACCACACTCACCTGGGTTTCCAGAGGTCTCCAGGAGGCGAGGACTTATTTGGTGGCCCTGCTTCACCCAACTGCTCTTCTAGCATTTTCCACATCATGTGCTATGGTAACTACAACACCCTAGGAAGTCAAGGAGAAACGAGGGACAGGGAAAGGCAGAGCCTGCTGCCTCCACACCCCCTGATGTGCTGTGACCATCACTTTCCATGTGCCTAGCACAAACTGCTTGGTCTGTGTGTCGGCCAAGGCAGATCAGATCAGGAAGCTGAAGTTTATGAAACCCCTAAGTGGCTCATCTAAGGTTCAGATCTAGGCCTTCTGAAACCAAGCTCATTTGTTCATTTTATTATAGTACTATTGTGCTCCTAATAGGGGACTGAATGAGAAGTAACCTCCTTTGCCCAGGGAAATCTCAGTCCAGTTGGTGAGCTGGTGAGCTAGAGTGTAATTTCATATGCCATGGAAAACACAGTCATAGCATTTCAGATCCATAGTGTCATAGAACTGCTAGAGCTCACATTCAGTTCCTGGTCCCAAGCCAGGCTGTGGCAGCTGCTGGGAGAACGCGTCTGTTCTGTGCTGCAGACTCCTGCTGCCTCCACTGCTGCTGAGCTGGAGCAAGAGAGCATCCACAGCTCTGTGATACCCAACTTAAATTCTTTAGAGACTAGAGGGGAATTTGACTTCAAATCTGGTAAATCCGGGTGAAGATATGGTCAACTAAAGGGAGGCAGCCTTGAGCACAGAAAAGACCAAGCATGTGGCTGCTTACCTTCACTTTGGCCCAACTTCCAGCTGTAATCATCTTATGATTCTTTTTTTTTTTTTTTTTTTCTTTTTTTGAGACGGAGTTTTGCTCTTGTTACCCAGGCTGGAGTGCAATGGCGCGATCTCAGCTCACCGCAACCTCCGCCTCCCGGGTTCAAGCAATTCTCCTGCCTTAGCCTCCCGAGTAGCTGGGACTACAGGCATGCGCCACCAAGCCCAGCTAATTTTTGTATTTTTAGTAGAGACGGGGTTTCACCATGTTGACCAGATGGTCTCGATCTCTTGACCTCGTGATCCACCCTCCTCAGCCTCCCAAAGTGCTGGGATTATAGGTGTGAGCCCCGTGCCCGGCTCATCTTATGATTCTTTAACTTGGAAATCAGGATCCCTAGAAATGCGGAAGTACAACAGTGAAGAACATAAAGAATTAAAACAGGTTGCTGAGAACCAGAAGCTCTTGGTGTTGAGTTGCCAAGTGGTTTTCAGGAAGGGTGAGGTCAGGGACAATGTCGCTGGATCCTCTCTTGAAATGAAAGAGTAACTCTAGTGGCTTTGTGCTAAAGACCTCAGAAAGGACGCAGTTGTCTTAGAACCATTGACTGATAGCTCTAGAAGAGCTCTTTTATTTTTAAAAAAAGAAATCTGATTTCTTTCTTGAGCTCTTCATTTCTTAACCAAAATTTCTTGACATTGAATTAAGACAACTGAGGCCTAGAAATGGAAAATTACTTGCCCAAGCTCTCAGGACTGGGTAGCTCAAACCTCACTGGGGATTCCCTCAGAAGCCAGTTACAGGACCAGGTGAGACAGAGGGACCGATGAATTCCCAGGAATTGAATGAAACTGACATGAGCTTATGGCCTGGCTTAGACCCTTGTGCCAGGAATGAACCTCTGAGAAATATTATATATACCCTTCTTCCCAGGAGAGATGGCAATAAAGGAAAAACAAAAAGAGGATAAGAATCGTCAGAGCTTACCTGTTGTTTTTTTTTTTTTTTATTAAATGATGCAATCCCCTTGGGCCTCATATCAGGTTTAATTTAGCATAGGAGCTCTCTAAGCAGAGACTAATATAATTCATCTTTCTGTATAACAGCACTGTTCTTACTTTTCATACAGTCAGTGAGGACAATTACTACTTCAGTTTTCCGTGAACGGAACTATGTTGTTCCAGAACCCACGATTTAAGAGCTCACCAATGTATAAATGTGTACAGCTCTGGCCCCACCACACTCTGGCAGCTTCATTAGACATATTTTATCTAGGTAGTATTTTTTCAAATAAAGAAATTGTTATTTATTTAAAAAATAAAATGCGGTGCACCTGCATTCTGCAAACAAATCAGCAAGAGAGAGGAGATGGATAAAAGATTCACTTCTCCCCTTCAATTTGGAATCCAGATTAATGAATAGCTTTGTGAAAAGTTTATTATCGAAATTTTACTTATCAGATTAATGTAAGAAGTGCCAGTGTGGAGCTTAAAATGACGAAAGTAATGAAGAGTTGAAAAGGTGCGTACATCAAAATCACCTGGGGACTTTTGAAAACTATATGCCTCTGCCTTAGATTTCAATACATGTTCTTGAGGAGACAAATTTGCTCTCCACCGACTCCAGTCCTGGGAAGGATCCCATCCATTGCCAGCCATTGTTACTGATGAGAATATGTTGTCCCACAGGCTCCTGGAGGCCAAAAAAAGAAGATGGAGTAAAATGAGATAGTGGTTTATAATACGTCTTTACCAGGAAACAGATCCAGGGCAAATGCAAGCTCTGTCCTGTCTTCTCCTGTCTCTCCACAATTCAAAGAACCATAGACGATGCTCTAGGATGAATCCAAGATCCTCTGGGGAATATTTTCAAGAGGTATTAGGAAGGCCTCTCCATCCCGAGGATGTAGCACTTGGCAACAGCAGGGTCCAGGACACTCTTTGGGTGGGAGCTGACCTCTGATCTCAGGGGAGGTCACACAGTTAGAGCAGTTCGTGGCCCATGTAGTGGAGAAAAAACATCCCAGGAAGATTTCACGCTGCCCTTTCATTAGTTGGCAGCGACCAGAGCGACCGCAGGCAGGTGACATTCTGTTTCTGCTGGTGTCCAAGGGCCCAAATTCTACAGGCCATGCTTCCCAGCACCCCAAAGGCTCTGGAGTCTGTGTTAAGAGTGGCCATATCTGCTTATCCTTTTTTCAGGGCCTTATCATTCCAGGTAGAGATTTGGTAAAGAATTATCACAGTATTTATGGGATGTGAATAAACACAAACAAGACTGAGATGGAAATTGGGTGTGTTCCATGCAAGGGAGAAAAAAAGGCAGATGGGGGTTGAGTTAGGAAGGACGAATACAGAAGGTCTGGGCACTCTTTCTGTAGGCACGGCCTATGATCCTTCTGTCCGAGAGGCTGAGGGCCTTCATCAGAGCTCCTTAGCTATACCCAGAGGACCTGCTTGTTTCTGTTGAGCTGAGGCTCAACACACAAAAGAGTAGCCGTGACTCGTCTATGGGGCACACTCAGCCATCAAGGCAAGGTGAAAAGGGAACACTGAATAGATGATGGCAGCTTTTAAAGCATTTTTTCTAAAATGGCAATGCTGGGGTCAATATCCTGGGCAGACTTTTTAAAACATATATGTATCTTTCCTTTTAAACCTACATTTACTCAGTAGAACGTTTCTAGTTTCAGGGCTTTCCAGGAGACACCAATGCACACAAGGCAGGTGAATTCATTCAAGCTGAGTCCCTTCCTGAGGCAAGTCTTTCACTATAAACAGAACAAATTTTACCTTGAGTATCTATCTTTAGGAACCAGGTCACCTTCCAAAGACTGATGGGGATCCCTTGATGAGCAGTCAGAAAGGCTGTTTGTCCCCAACACTTAGCTCAGTTAATTTCCCTGGAGGCTTCACATATCCAGAATTGGCCATGTACTGCAATTGATATGGGAGTGAGGAGGGAGAGGACTAATACACTCATTAACATTGTATTAACCCCTAAGGCTGAATACTGTATTTACTTTTTTCTTATTCTAAATTTAAGATAAAAGTGTGCAGGTGCATAAAATTGGACAAACATGACATAGATATTACACAAATAGGCAGTTAAAAGTCCCCAGTAAAGATTTAAACAGACCATTTAGCTCTAACATTGGAACCAAAGATACCGTCAACAGGAGTCACAGGCTCAAAATGATCAGGCTTTGTTTAGAGTTAAGTTAAATATGCTAGAAACACTTCAATTTCTTTCCCCAGTTATCAAACAGAGAGACTAGATCTACTTACTATAAAAATGCTTTCTCATCCCTAAGAATAAAGCAGGCAAGTTTTCATATTAAAACAAAGCAAATGACATACAGATCTTACAACTTTTTATATATCTGAGTAAATTTGAGCTTTCTTGATATATGCTTATATACACTATAGTTAAAAACCTACATTTCTTGCAAAGTCCCAAGGTAAATGTAAGTAAAGCTTGGGAAGAGAGAATTCTACAAGAAAACTCACTGACAAGAATAAAAAGAATTTTAAAAGAGAAACATCCATTGTTAGTGAAACAAGAAAATGGCCACAACTACAAGCCAGAACGTCTAACAATTTTAGTTAAATTTGGATATATAGTGGGAGCACATGAAGAGGCAATGCATGCCTCACTTCAACCAGACAGAGCGAATATTTCTTTTCTTTTTTTTCCCCTTGGGATAGAGTCTCACTATGTCATCCAGGCTGGAGTGCAATGGTGTGATCTCAGCTCACTGCAATCTCCGCCTTCAGAGTTCAAGCGATTCTCCTGCCTCGGGCTCCTGAGTAGCTGGGATCACAGCCATGCACCACCACACATAGATAATTTTGGTATTTTCAGTAGATACAGAATTTCATCATGTTGGCCAGGCTGGTCTTGAACTCCTGGCCCTGTGATCCACTCAACTCAGCCTCCCCAAGTGCTGGGATTATAGGAGCGAGCCATCGTTCCTGGCCAGAGTGAATATTTCTTTAAACATGATCCAGCCCAGTAACAATGAGCACATCTACCAAAAACATCTGGCTTTCTAATATAATTCTCCAATTAAAACAACAACAACAAAAACTAGGTCATCTTGGAAAAATTATATGAAAGCTCTTTCTCTCTCTCTCTCTTTCTCTCTCTCTTTATTTATTTATTTATTTATTTATTTATTTTTGAGACAGAGCTTTGCTTTTGTTGCCCAGGCTGGAGTGCAATGGCGTGATCTCAGCTCACTGTAACCTCAACCTCCTGAGTTCAAGCCATTCTCCTGCCTCAGCCTCTTGAGTGGGATTATAGGCATGGGCCACCACATCCAGCTAATTTTGTATTTTTTGTAGAGATGGGGTTTCTCCATGTTGGTCAGGCTGGTCCTGAACTCCCAACCTCAGGTGATCTGCCCGCCTCAACCTCCCAAAGTGCTGGGATTACAGGCATGAGTCACCACTCCCCGCCCAGGCTCATTTATTTTTATGTCTGGAGGTTGATGCTATGTGGGA